GAAACATGGGAATGTGTTACTGGTAACTCAAGACAGACCAAGCAGCTGGGTCCATAGCAGCATCGACAGGACCGGCAGCATCCCCGGGCCCCGGAACAGACAGCACAGCTAATTTGCATAGGGAGGGTCGGCAAGCCACGCCCTAAGCACTCTCTACCCTCCCTCCAACTAGTTTCTTCTCCTTCTCCCCTCCCCAGACCTGATACCTACCTACATACTAGCCCAGCAACTGCCTCCTCCTGCTGGACACACCCTCTACAACTAGGAATACTGTCCCAAGTTTACAATCTTCAGCTATCTGAAATCGCCAGCCTAGTTCCCGGGCTCAGAGACATTCATGAATCCCCAGTTTCTCCTCCTTCTAAAGGACAACACAGGCAGTAGTTAAGAGCTGTCTATTTGGGATGCTGAGCACTTAAATTTGAGCTTTAGGTCTTTAGTTAGCCAGTTATGTGTCTGAGCAAATCCCTTAACCCCTCTGAACTTTCCACACTGCAAGACCAGGCTTGTGTTCAGATCACAGCTCTGTCACTTGGGTTAACCAATCCCTCTGCACTGCTGCTTCCTGTGAAGAAAGAGTAAACCTACAATGATTAAAAAATAGTCCGTGTGTCAGCATACGAATTAAGTGTGGGTGAACGTTTGGTCTAGCACACAGGAAAAGGCCTGACGTTAGTTGTCTGAAGCATTTGAATGCCTCCCTTGTGAGGTGCTCAGTGAATATAGCTTTTCAGTCTTGGCTCAATTACTGCATATTTTTTTTCCTTTCTAGAGAGAAAGAAGATGCAGAGGTGCATGTTGGAATGTGGGTGGCAGTGTTCCTAAGAAAGGTAGGAGGAAGTTAGTAGCAGAAAACGGTGGCATTTGTGGAAGCTGTCCCTGCCTTTTCAGTTTCTGGGGTCAGGATGAAATGTGAATATATATATGCATTTCAAAGGTCAGAAAAACAAGGAGTATGTCTGAAGTAGAAAGAGAGCCAACACTGAGGTTAGTTGGCCTTTCTTGGTGCCAGTCTTCCAGGAGCTGTGCATGTTATCTCTGTGTTCCCTAGGGAGGCACAGGGTGACACTGTGCCTTAGGGACACAATGACCTTAGGGACAGGGTGACACTGCTTTAGAGCAGGTTCTAAAGGCAAGAGGAGGGGCACTCACTCCAGCAGCAGATGCAGAACACATCTGATTTAAGAGAAACAAAACTCAGGAGAGGAAAAGAGAAGGCAAATGATATGGGTGCATGTGGAGATGAATTTGCCCTCTAGTAGAAGGTTGCACTGTGTGTATCCTTCAACAATTGGGTTTAAATTTCAGTCTAAAACTGTTGCCTTCACAGACACGCCTTAACTGTCTTCCAGCTGAAGCCCTTTCAGGGTGGAAAGCACACAGGTCTCTCCATATTTATTCTTTTCTCTCTCCTTCACGGATTAGTGTCCTCCTCCGGCTTTGGCTGTGAGAGCACCCCTTTCTCTTCTCCACTGATTAATAGGATAATCAGCAATGATGTCCCACTCAGCAAGACATTCAGGAAAGCATGGCCTCCAACAGCACTTGAGACCATGTCCTTCCGTTCTTCACCCTGCGGTCAGAAGATGCTGAGGCAGCACCAGCAAGGTGGGGGTATTTCATAAACTTCTGACTCTCGGTGCGCTCTCCACGCAGATCCCGACTTAAAAAATGCTGTTAGCAGAAAGGGCGAATCAAATCAAATCAAACCAGCTCCTTAGTGCTTGACCCCGGGGGGCAGAGGAGACACGGGTGAGAAGGAGCCACAACTTGGAAAAAGATTTATTTTTCCTAGCCATAAATCTCACCCCCTTGTTCCTCTGCCCAACCAAGCATGATAAAGTCCTTTTCCATAAAGTATTCAGCATTAGAGCCACAAAGCTCCCCCAATCAGCAGCCATCTGCTTCTACCATAACTGCTGCTGCTACCGAAGCAGGGAAAGCAGCCGCAGAGAAAGGGAGCGCTGCTAGGCTCCTGGACAAATGAGCCTGAATAGCTCTGGTTCTCCTTGTGTATCTGTATCTATAGAGACAGGAGAAGAAAGGCTGCATTATATTGATACAACAATTGTAAAACAAAACACGGAAGAGGCATCCAAAGGGCAATATCGCATGCATCAGGGGTCCCCAGATAAAAGGGGAGCTAACAGATTTATAGAAACCTTTAATTGGTTTTCAATTGAAAGCTAAAGAGGCTGGGGTGAAGCCTTGAAGAGCGGCAAAGTGCTCTCTCATTCAGCCGTCTGGAGGCGTGAGCGATTTCACGGAAGGAGAAAAGGGACGCAATGGGCCTTGCCTCTAGGGCCTGGGAGCCACGGGGCTGATTTTTTG